GGACTACTTGCCAGCTTGTCCTGCGGGCCAACAAAGCCCACCGTTTGAGTTGATTTCAAACATGAAAGAGATCGCTTTGCTTTGAGCGCGCGGCAAAAAAACTGCTCAGTACGACCAGCGGCCTCGTTGCCGCTCAGTTTCGCAATGTTTGCTTTTAGACTTTAGACTCTTTTGCAAGTTGGATTTGTATGCGCGCGCAACCACGTGTGCATCTGAAGGAAGAGGGTGGTTTGAAATAGAAACGGGATTTTTCAGCCATGCCGCTGAAGGCTATCTGCGAGTTATCTGACGAGAGCCCATCAAAGTCTCCCCCAGTTGCACCTGCTCCCAAGGAGGAGAAGGGTGAGACCAAGGATGGCGCCGAGCCCAAAAAGCTCTCCACGCCCAAGAAGAAAGCCAAAGCCGCCAAATCTACGCCCAAAAAGAAACCTGCGGCTGAGCCTCCTGTGCTTGCTGCTTCTTCTTCGAAAGAAGATGCAGAGGATGCCGAGCCGATGAAACGCCCAGCTGCTATGAAGCGGCCTGCTGCTTCGACGAGTGAGCAGGAGCCAGCCAAAAAGGGGTACAAGTGCTACTACAAACGGGATAAAGTCTATGGCATCGCCGTTGGAACTTCTTCCAAGGAGAAGTCCGAGATTTTGCGCGCGCCTAGGCTGTGTTTTTGAAGCGAGGGTGTTCTTGCCAGTTTTGTTTACGAAGCTCGCTGCAGTCAGCGCTAAGGTGAAGCAGCCAGCAGGGCTCAGCGATGAGAAACATGCGGAGATAGCTGCGCCCCAGCGTCCACTCCAAATTTTTGTATCAGTGTTCTAGTCACTGAAAATCTGTCTAGTAACAGCCACCCCAAACCAAGGAGATTGCCAGAGTGGAAGTGGAACAGGGTAAATCGGCAGAAGACACACACATCTTGGTGGATGCTTCGCCGTTGGTTTGGAGAACGTTGAGTGTGTTGTTGCTTCAGGGTTCATTGCTTTGTTGATGTTGAGTTGCGGGCAATGCCTATTCACTGTGATTGAACTACTGCTGCATCAAGGAATCGCTTCAGAAGGCAGCCCTCAAGGCTACGACGTCAGAAGTTCTCAAAAAAGAGAATATGGGCGCTGGCGATTCTGAAGCGTGCGCAGAGCAGGGCGGGCAGCCTGCCGAAGAGTGCGCTGAACTGTTTGGAGAGGATGCTGAAGAAGAAGCGCTCTGCGATGATCGTGAGGTAGAATAGATAAGATAGCTCACGCCGAACGCTCACCGCTCCCCTCGAAAAAGTGGTTTGAGTCTTGAGTATTCTTTGTTCATTGAAACGCGTCATCAATACAGAGTAAAACAGGCTGCCCACAAAGGTTGTTCACAGGAGTCTTGCACACTGCGCTGTTCTCACATTATGTGAGGGATTGTGCCTAGGGCGCGGAACATCTTACATAATTTGTATATATATACATATAATATTTATAGTCAGTTTCCCACCCGGAGGATTTCAGCCTACTACTAGTAACCTTTTGGAAACCAAAAACTTTTGGGAACACGCTGACATAGAATTTGTCTTAAGGTAAGTCATTTGTGACGACGCTGAATGAACTTGCCGATGTGAGCTCCCACTCTTGCGCACTTGAGACCTTGAGCCAATAAGCATTGCGCTGGAACAAGTCAGCGCCTTGATATAGATTATCAGCCGTGAGCTATACCCCTCTTCCGCATTCAAAAAGTGATACATGTCAGCAACTGGACATAAGTTATAAGCCATGGGCAAAGCCCCGGTTGCAAGGCAAGACCCCGATTAACAGGAGCAAGCCTTAAGCAGGTGTCGTGGGCCATCACTGGACTGCGCGCGATGCTGGTCATCGGGGCCCATCGTTCCCACGAGCCAGTGGTAAACCTCACGCCCATCCTAGATTCCCCAACTCCCATTCCTGAGGTCCCATGTTCTTTGTCGAAGGTGTTTCGTTTCGGTGACCGCTTGCCCCTGTGCGAATTGTGGACAGATGCCTGCCCCACCGGGGTGGGCTCCTTCATTTGTTTTGGGACCAAACCACGCGGGTTTTACATGCACCAGCTCACCGAGCAAGATGCCTGGTGGGTGGATCAGGGGTGCGTGTGCAACGATCCGAGCTGGCAGTCGGAATGGGAGTTGTTTGCTGTGCTTTTGGCATTTCGTGCATTTCACAGTTTGTTGAAGGGCGGAGAACACAGAGTTTTCCTTCGTTCTGACAATGTTTCAACCCTTCTTGCTTCCCTTGAATTTAAGGCACACAGCCCTGCTCTGAATAGGATCGCAGGTGAGCTTGCTCTCGAAATCGAATCGCTCGAGCTCGCCCCGCTGGAGGGACGTCATGTTCGAGGATTGCTCAACACCGATGCGGACGACCTCTCACGAGGCACAGTGCCAAGGGCACTAATCGGGGTCGAGCAGTTCTCACTGACTGAGGCAGCGCGGTTGTTCAAGCGATGTGCATGAGCGTGTTGTCGAGAGTGTCTGAGAAAAGGATTTCGCGCGGTGTTGTCTTGAGATTTTCTTTTCTTTTGGGGCCTCCTTTTAGGGTTCAGGCTTCGAGGGTTGAGAGTGCGAGCAGACGCTCAGGATGGGTGCCTGGAAGGGGGCACACCAATTTGAGAACCAGACCAGGATTCTCTCTCTGGGGTCAGAGGCCCATGGAAGGACAGACGAACGACGAGGCGCTCCCCCAGGTGTGGCGCTGGCCAGAAGGCAGTTGGGACTGCCTGAAGCAAATAGTGCTCCAGTGGCAACCACCAGCGACTCGGTGGCCGTGCGTGGAGGAGGCAGAAGGGCCTTCTGCTGCCACGACACCAGGCAGCGCGGGGCAATTGCTGGAGACTGAGAGGCTGATCAGGAGAAGGCCAAGAGGCCCCTTACAGCCTGATAGATCCAACATGGAGGAGAGGCGCAGGCCGTCGTTGAAGAGGGCCCTAGAGATCGCGTCCGACCCAACCTTGTCACAAAGAGCCAGGCTGGGGTTTGACCAGTTGGTGTACTCAGCAGGCTCGAACGACACTAAAGCTTCGATGTTCCGAACTTGGAAGGAAGTTCAGGAAAGAAGTGGCCTGCCTGCGCTCTCCCTCACGCAGAGCAAATGTGAGACGTTTGTGGCAGTGCTTCGAGCAGCGGGCGAGTGGTGGCAGAAATTGTTTGAGTTGGAGGGTTTGAAGATGGCTGAGAAGCCACTGGCACCGTTTGGGGGCATTCTTCTTTGGGCACTGGGCTCTCATTTCCTCCTTAGGGAGGGCGAGTTGGCGATGCTGGACCTACATGAGAACACCGTCCGGTTGGACGAGGTCGCGAAGACCATCACCCTTTCTCTCTCAGTGAGCAAATCGGATCCGGGGGGGAGAACGGCCAGAAGAACGCTCAGGTGCTGCGGCTCCGAAGACGACACGACCTTCCATGGACTTCTCTGCCGCAGCAACGCCATAGAGGCCTACATCGAGGACGCCATGGAGGAGAGTCCGGACATGGCCACCATCCTCACTGACCATGAGCAAGTTCAAGCGGCGCTCAACGCCTTTCGGAAGGATCTCGATGAGCTCAAGGATCAGGTGAGGGAGACGGCGGAAGCAGCTGCAGAGCGGCCGTCGTCAAGCAAGGCGGCATTGGAGAGCTTGGACACCGAGGTGAGACGCATGTGGGACAACATTCGCCCGGCCTACATTCGCAACACCACCACAAACAAGGTTCACTCCACCCAAGCATGCCTGTTCTGGGAAGTCCCGTCCGCATGGGCGACGAAATGTGGGTGGAAGTGGGCTGCTTCTTCCAAAACGGTCACGTATGTGAGCGAAGACGAGCTGAATCAGTTCCCGCTCTGTGACAAGTGCTTTGCATAGATAGGTTCTGGAAAATTCACTCCAATTCTATAGTAGCATAGGGGACAGGCAGGAAGAAAGGAAAGAAGGGAGAGTCAGTGCATGGTTTGTTGCTATGAATGTGCCATCGAGTTGCTAGGGACACGTGATGTCACGCGCGTGTTCCCGGCCCATGGCACGTTTGTTGAAAGGCCCGGAAGTGGGCAAGAAAAGACAAGTTGGAAGAGGCGCGTCCGAGGTGCATGGGAACTGCTTGAACCTCAGTTAGACGCTTCATTGGAAACCATGCTTCCTTTCTTCCACCAACCTGTGAGTCAAAAGAGAAGTCCGCTTCGTTTGCATTTGCTCGACAAACAAACCTAGGGTTGGCAGGGTGGGGGTTTGTTCTTGCTGATTGTTATTGCGTAATAAATCCTATTTATGTGTAATAACTTAAGCAGGAACTTGGTGGAGTGGTCGAGTCTTGTGTTGATGTATCCCCTCTCCTGTCCATTTTGGCTCAAGGGCCCAACGACAGGAGAGGGGGATATGTGCGACCTGATCGAAAACCCCACCCCCCCACACCTTGTTTTCCCAGTCGCACTGGCGGGAGAGTCAGTGCATGGTTTGTTGCTATGAATGTGCCATCGAGTTGCTAGGGACACGTGATGTCACGCGCGTGTTCCCGGCCCATGGCACGTTTGTTGAAAGGCCCGGAAGTGGGCAAGAAAAGACAAGTTGGAAGAGGCGCGTCCGAGGTGCATGGGAACTGCTTGAACCTCAGTTAGACGCTTCATTGGAAACCATGCTTCCTTTCTTCCACCAACCTGTGAGTCAAAAGAGAAGTCCGCTTCGTTTGCATTTGCTTGACAAACAAACCTAGGGTTGGCAGGGTGGGGGTTTGTTCTTGCTGATTGTTATTTCACTGTTTTTTTGCGCTCATCGCCTTGGGCCCCGCCAAGGTGCACTCTGCAGGGACATTGCTCGACATAGATGTTCACGATTTCATGGTCGTTTCAGATCCGCTCGGTGGAGGGTTGGGACCTGCTCTTCAAAACATGTTCTCTGGTCATGACCATCTACCAACTAATTCAATTGGACCTTTCTCATTTTCCTGGCTTTGCCAAGATGGCAAGATGTTCGTGAAGCATCATGAAAAACCAAAGAGAAGACTGATTGCCTCGTGACCAATCACTTCGGGCCGGCTTGTCCAGGTGGAAGAGCTCCTTCTTAGAGCTTTTAACGGTTACGAGGCTGGAAGCTCCACGACTCTAATGGGCGGGTTCAGTTAAAGATATAAACAAATCTAAGGTCTAAATTGATAAACATGGATCTTGGGCTGACTTGGAGAGATCATTTTTGACGCAGATCTTCAAATCTTGAACATCCAACTGGTTGGGACATCGCATCAGCATCTGATGTTCATCTCGTTTTCCGCAGCCCCGGACCCGTTGAGACACTTTGAGATCCTTGAGTCCACAGACACGCTGCGCAGGAGCTGCATGGCCCTGAGCACCAAATGACCCAAGCAGTCCGCAGTCACCTGGAGCGCTTCCGCAGAGAACATTCCACCGGTTGAGGCGCGGAAGTGGGAGACACCAGAGACCTGGGAGACCGACGCTGCGACCTGGCAGACCTACAACTGAATGAGGTCTGAAGAGTTTCATCCTTTGCAATAGATCTAATCGCATCCTTTCATTCCTGGTTCTGAGCCTTCTTGCGTTGGTCATTACAGTCATAATCCCCGCAACAGGCGGGGGTGAATGTTGCACATCAAAGGGCAGGTGCACGCGGCTTCTCAGTCTGTCGAGTTCTTCAATTCTTATGAAACTGCCATATTGTGGAAGGGAAAGTAGCAGACGACACACGGGCAAAGAGATCAAAGCGTTGCTAGTTTTGGGGTTGTTGTAAGGTTAGGGAAGACTTTTGTTGCTCATCCAACATGTGGGCACCACATCTCACAGTTCTCGTGGGGCGAAGGAGTGATGGAGTAGCATGAAGTAGCAGAATCCATACGTATTGCTTCAAATAGACGACTCTAGTCTCGAATGTAAGCTTGCTAGGTCCTACGATCCTCTTCTTTTCGCAATCTGTTTGGGATTCTTTGCTGTAATTTGCGTGCCCGTTTCTGTGTCTTGCGGAAACCGACATCACTGACATCATTGGATTTTACTCTGACATCATCAACCCAGCTGTGGACCACATGGAGATGCACCGAGAAGACGAGTCCCGGCGAGGCATGGCGAGGATGCCACTGATATCTCACCTTCGGCACTTCGAAGCGGAAAAAAAGAGACTTCTCGGGTGCTGAAGCGGGGAATTCACCTCCGTACTGAGATGGCAGAAGTGGGGGGGAGGCTCCGAAATTTCAGGTGTGAGGTTCATGATGGCACAAATGGATGACATTGGGTAGCTTCGTTGGATTTGCTTTCACTGAATTAGGAGAAGACCCAAACAACTCCAAACAGTCGAAGGACAACAAAAAGAGAAGCACCTATCGCGTTCAGGCCGCCCCCGTTCTATTTTCAGACGTACACATACACATTCAATGGAG